AATTTAGTAACACATATAAAAAAAAGTTTTTAAAAAACGTAATATTTCTTCTTTTAAATAAAATTCCAATTTAAATCAATTTCTAGTGACCGCTAAGAATGTTTGTTACCACCCACTTTTATTTGTGTAGCTTTAGAACGGCACATTTCGTAGCTACAAACTGAAGAAAGACACGGACTTACAGATAAATTACAGAAATACTCCACCTCTGAGTACAAGAATATAACACATAGTCTGTTTCAACATGGTAGATAAGCTACACTAAACAGGTTCAAAAACACACTGAACGTACCAACTTCTTAAAGACTCCCCTTCTTCAGGTTTTTTCATTACATCTTTTAAAGGTGGAAGAATCTGACAAAAGATAAATCATCATCTTTTTTTTATCAGGTATGCTTTTCAGGGATTATCTAACTATCCACATTTTGTTTTTTCTTAGACTTACAGTGTACTTGATGTGTACTTTCTAGCTTTGAACATAGAGACTTGTAGTTTATAGTAACTTTTCTACTTAATGCATTGAAAAACTCAGCACACAATCAGTGACAGCTTGTTAATGTTGTTATTGGTGGCGATCAAGAAATGACAGATTATTTTTGGGGTTGGGGTATTTTTGGCTTGTTTTGCTTCAATTTCACGCTATCCGTCCCTAATTTAGCAGCGAAAGACTAGAGGGAAGTCAGCTAGTCATCATCACCCACTGCCAACTCTTGGGCTACTCTTTTACCAATGAATAGTGGGATTGACCACCACATTATAATGCCCCCATGGCTGAAAGGGCGAGCATGACTTAACCACCTGGCCATGGGCTATTTTAAAGCAATATTTTATGTATCTCACCATCCACAAAAGAAAGACATTCTTATTATATTGAATCTTTATTATTAAGAAAACTAAGCACTTATTCTTAAGCACCCTAACTGTCAGGCCATACCCAATTATTTTGTTTAATATTATATAATGAACCTTAAAACTGACCAAACTAGAAAAAATTAAGAGATGAAAAGGTATAACACGAGATCTAATGAACAGCAACAAAATGTGTCACATTAGCACACTCTTCATTATTCAGAATTATGAATCTAACCGTTACTTATACATTTTATTAGCTGTTTTAAATGTTCCACAGGGAATGCGTGTGTGATTTTTTAACATTCGTTTAAGAAATTATTTGAAAATACTCTTAATGAAAACAGACAAGTTTCAGAGCCAAGAAATTTTCTACACATCATTTAAGTTAGTAAAATAATGGAAATGAATATTTACACTTACCTTTCCTTTTAACCATTTTCTTATAATGCGATTAGATCGAGCACACTCTCCTAGACAAGATAAAATTGGAGACAGCAATTCTTTCTGACTATTCATTGATTTCTACAGGGGGTAATAAAAACAAAACCATTGACCCCTACAACAAATGTGTCAGTTTTGTTTATTTTAGTTTTTCTAGTATATATATATATATCAAACTTTTAAAACAAGACTTTCCAGTTCCTCAAAATTGTTTAACATATATTCTGGCAAGCTAATTTGACTAATTAAAATTAACCCTATTTATAAATTTTATAACTGAATCTAAAAGATCTAAAAGATTAGACAACACGCCGTTTGAATTTTAAGGTTTATAAATAAAATAATCTTTTTAACATCGAATATATTTTTCCATTTGTGTTAGCTGCTTGTCTCGGGTCGCTTTTCCTATTAAAAAATGAAAGCTTATTACTTTACCTGTTCTAAACGTTTTTCCAGAAAACTCAGTAAAATAGCTACAGCTTCCATATTCATTCCTTCATATTCCAGCTCTTTCTCACTTTTTACACCAGGGATATCTGTCAGTGGGGTGAGGAGTTCTTCATAACTTGAATGAGGCATATTTGTAAGGAGGTTCACAGTATGACTAGAAGAGTAGACATGTAAAGAAATTAAGAAAAAAAAATTCTCATTCAGAAAATTTACATCCTGTATTAAAACAAATTCTAAACATAATATAGATTTCTATGTTACAAAACCATTCAAGTTTCACTATTTGGAAGAAAAATCATGCAAGTTCTAGCAACTTAAGCCTCTTAACTTTCTTAATTTTACAAAACTGAGTTGGTCAAGATGTTGACTAATTTTTCACTCAAATACTTAAGTTTATTGTAAACTAGTCAAGACATTTAAAATCTATATACACATGACACAAGACTCCCCTATCATATTTGAACAGTATAATGCAATTACTAACAATAAAACACCCTTCTATATTTGTTTTTGACTAACAATAAAACACCCTTCTCTATATTTGTTTTTGACTAACAATAAAACAACCTTCTCTATATTTGTTTTTGACTAACAATAAAACATCCTTCTCTATATTTGTTTTTGACTAACAATAAAACATCCTTCTCTATATTTGTTTTTGAC